CAACAGAGGCAGAAAAGTGAGATCAACAGGTCATATGCACCCACCACCATTGTCACTGGAGGTCCCTCAGCAATCCACCAAGTGTTTAAACTAGAGCTCAGGAGCAAGGAAAGGAAAGAAGAGGAAAACGGCTTGGGCAGAAATAACAAAGAGCACGCTACCTGCCAGGCACTCTGCCCTTCTTCCTTGGCCAGATTTTTGAAGCGCATCACTTCAGCCAGCTCCCTGCGCTTCAAATCATACGATGGAACTTCAGAAGGGTGGCCAGACAGCATGTGAGAGTGTGCTTCAGTGATTTTGACCTGCCCTTATTTCAATGCCTTCACAGAGTCTGAAGAATTGCTTGGCAATGCTGATGCCCAAAATATTGAGGGAAATACCTTAGGGTCACAATTAATGCAATGTCAATCCTGTTTTTGCAGCATGAAATGTTGAACCTTGGAGCTTGCAGTTGACCATGCCTGTTGGCAGCAAGCACAGAAAACAATCGATGAGGCCCACTGGACCAACAAGTGCAAATGGGAACAGACTTTATCTAGCAGGAAATAAGCGCAAAGCCTGTGGGTGATTGATTAACTTGCTTTGTTGCTTCCCATTCTGTAGGACACATCAGTGAAGGCAAATCAACTCACCTGGCATCCCGTCCCTCAGACACGCTGTATGCGATCTCTCTGGCTGCAGGGGTCCCTGTTGCCTGTATGTTTGGCAGGTACAAGCAGCAAAATTTAAGTGAGAATGGTATTTATGTTGCTTAAGGCAGTTCAGTGAGCACGGCATCCTTAGCAAAAGAAAAGAGAAGTCTATGCAGGCCAGAGACCGGGTGAAACCCTACAATAGCCTACACGTCGGTCAGGATTAGGCAGCAACATCAAGGAAAAATGATGTACCATGTTTGCCTGCTTTACTCCAAGCAGAGCAGCAGCTGTGGCAAGTCAACCAAGCCACACAAGAGCAGACGCGCACCTTAAGTATGGTGTCGCGTGGTTTGCTTGGAAGCACGAGGCTTTTTCCCAAGGCCGGAGCACCGCCATACTTGCCCACTATCCTGGGATAGGAAGATGGATTCATTGATCATTTGACCACAGAACAATACATGCTGGATAAAGAACACATCATTGATCAAAGCATCAATGATCAGTTTCAAAACCACGTGGGGACCAACAATGCAGGGGTCTCTCACCCTAAATACAGCTACCAGATTCCCAGGTTGTTTATTCGACGCGCCATACACCCCCCCAAAATGATAAGTATTTGTTGATAGCTACACAAAAAGGATCACATCCTTCAAAAGTATGTAGCCACTGTGTAGGGTGCAGCAGGGCTTTTGCATGGTTGCAGGGTCTCCAAAATGCACAGCAAAATCAGGGCAGGATTTGATTTGTGAAGGCCTTAGAAATTTCAAGGTTGAGAGAATCTGCATGCAGACCAGCTTGCCATTATTCAGCTGGATGATGACCCAGAAACTTCTGAACAGGGCGGCATAACACTCTGCAAATTTTGAGCTCGTGAAGAAAGTGGCCTGGAAATCATGTACATGAACATACATGTCATCCGTGGATGAACCAACTGCGGTGTCTCCTCAGTGTTGGAGGGCAAAGCTTAATGAGCCTTAGACAGCTACCGTTTTAGGATTTTACAATCAATGCTTCCCTGGATTTCTGGCAAAGAGCAAACAAAGAGCAGCTTCCAGTGCATCAAGTTTTAGGGATTAACAGTCCCTTGCCTTCCTTGTTTGAGGTATGCCGGCCTTCAGCAACCATTTAAATGCAAAGCCCCTCGAATTGTTGTGTGCAAAGTCCTTGATGGCTGCATACGATATGACACAGCAAAGCTGCAAGCTGTAAGCTTGCTCCTTGCCAGTGGCGAGCTTTCAGTACAAGCACAACAGGAATGGTTGGTGGCAACAGTGAAAAGTGGGAACAGGAAGCAGCCATCACTCAAGTGGAGAGGTGTCTGACAATACAAGGCCACACCTCGCTTGCTTTTCAGCCTTGAAGCGGCGCAGCTCTGGGTGAACAAACCGTGCATCTTGCTGCTGTGCCTCCTGAACAAAACAAAACGAAATGTTCTTTGGTCCAGGTTGGTGCTGTTTGGTGCGTGACTTTCAAAGTAAACAGGGGCTCCTGTTTCCTTTCAACGAGAGGAAAAACAACTTGCAACAGATTGGTGCTGGATACTTTTCTTTTAAGGTTCAGGCATTTTACCTTATGTGTCACCAGTTCAAGCAGCGCATGTGGCCAAGGAGCACGCTAGGATCTTTCTGCAATACTGCAGAAACGCCTGCTTGGATGCCCACAAGCATGGATGTACCTATCTTGCTTCTAGCAGACTGCTCATTTTGTATGCAGGTCAGAGAACATGTGTGCATGCGGCCGAGGATACCTTTTCTGCCGTGTCTTGTCCTGATCCTTGAGCCAGCTCTGCACAAAGCATATCAATTGTCTGGCATGTCAGAGAGACTGGTCAAGCAGAAGGGCTGTTGCTGCAGTGAACCTTTTGTGACGCACCTTTCAGGGCAAGGTCATCTGCAAGGGCTCGCACTGATGAGACATAGTTTTCCATTTTCTGGATGGTGAGCGGACAGAACAGGCAAACTTGAGCACTGGACAAAAAGGGTTTAACCAAGGAAAGAGCTCAAGGGATGATGTCACACTCTGTGCCGTTGCAAGGCTCGGGCAAACAATGAGCCATGCACACACAGAACTTTTTTTTTCGGACAGTCATACTCATACCTCTGCCATTTCCTGCCAAGTCTCCACCTGCATTATTCGTAATGCAGGAACTGCAGTCAGACGGGCTGCATGAAGGCAATCCCTTCGTCACCATGAAGCACTGGGATTGAACACACACACACACACACACACACACACACACACACACACACACA